ATATATATATGAAATTCTGTTATTATGCATATTATATTTTGTATTTGTTTTGTTTATATAATCTATATTTATTTTATACCATGTACATACATATACATGAATATTTGCAAATTTATCCGCAAACATTTGGATATAGGCGAGAACAAATTAAAAAGCGTGAAATATACTAATCAATCATAAATGATCACGCTTTAGTATTTACTAAATATATGATGTATTATCCGAGTAATAGGCACTGTTAATCTCATTGTATTATTGAAAATGTTAATTTAATGTTCTGCTTTTCTGGCAAGACTTGAGCATGAAAAGCTGATGAAGGTATTGAAGCAATCACAATTGCGGAGAAGATAATAATAGAATATGATGATGCAGTAATTTTCATAGCCTTAACCTAATAACCTTCTAACACAGTTGCTCCATTGTAAATCAACTAAACGTGTAGGAATTTCCACGTTGAGAAACGCATATAGTAATCGAGATTTCACTTCATGTACTCCAAAAATCTAAATGTTTCGGTCTGGTGCAGAAGATGCAGGAATATTGCATTCCATTTTAATCGCATTAATAAGAATGTCAAGAAGAAATGAAGTTTTAAATCCAAACACCTAATCAAAATACCAGATGATCTAACAGCGCGCATGCGTCCCAAGTAATCTAGGAATCAATTTCAGATTTTTATGTGCCATAAAAAATGAACTCTATGTATCTAATTGATTGCAAGGTATCTTTAACAGGAATGTTTTTTGGTTTATTCCAACACAGAAAGAATTGAAACAGAAAAGCAAGCGCAACAAATAAACTAGTTTGGGTAAGAAAGTTAAAGAAGTTGGTAACAAACTCAAAACATGAAACTGTGCAATAAACAAGCGCAAAAGCATCAGTTAAAACTTATTTGATTAAAAGGCTGTACTTTGATAAATAGATGGCTTAACAGATCAGTTGACAAGTGTTAACTGCATGTAAAAACACAGACAATGCATTCTTGGAAATGATTAGGGAGAAGGTGGGGGCATGCCATAAAGATCAAGAACAGAAACTGGAATAATGAACATCAAATCCAGACGTAAGTAATAAATCAAACGTTTCAAAGAACTGGGAAAAAATAAGAAAGAGAAGAAAGAAGGTGAAGAATGATATCCATAAAATGATCACTCCTGGTCTTCAAGTGAGAGATGCGTAATTTTAGTGAAATCAAATTCAGTGGTAGTACCACGATGAAATATGTCTAATACATCTTTACAAGTCGTCTCAAAATGGGTTGTTGGATCGTACGAACGCGAAATAAAGACTTGCGACTCGGCACCCATGTCAATCGGTTCATAAACGTCCGAGACATTCACAAACCTGGAAACTTCCTTTGTATGTTGATATATTCCAAAGCTAATAGTTCTACTTACTTCATAACTGAACAAGGCTTAATGATCTTACATGAAGGAAAACTTAAAAGAAAAAAATAAACAAACTTTTCGGTAACTGGACCCAATAACTGCAGCCCTGGCAAAATCTCAGCTTCTGGATTATTTGTTTCCACAGTTGTTGAAACCATAGCAATATACCATCCTTTAGGTGCCACCATATTTGCATTAGACACCAAAGAAATATAAATATCTGGAAGATGGCCCAGTGAATTCCATTATTCTCAAGAAAATACACAACATGTTTGAGGAAGAAGCATGCAGAGCATGTAAATGAAGAAGGAGATACCGTAATGGCGTCCAACTTGCTTCTGTGGAATAATTATCTGACAGCTCTGCGCATCGTTCGTGTTTGGTATTGGATGGTTTAGAAGGCAAATGGCCCGAATCACTTGCCCAATTTTCCTCACTTTATCAGGGACATATGATGGATCACAGTAGACCTGTAAGATATATTATTTATTATTCAGAATTTTATAAAGAAACGAAAATGGTTAACCACTACAGAACAATTACACAGCGTACCTGCTTACACTTCGCAATATCGTCTCCACTTTTAACGCCAACAACTTTTCCATTTTCATAAACAATACCATCGACAGGTTTGTCAAGCATATATGTTCCCCCATAAATTGCACTCAATCTAAATTTGAGACTTTTTTTAAATAACGTCTCAATCATGACTTCCAGAGATAACAGTATATTAAACTGAATACTGTAAATAATGAAAAAGTTTCATGCCGAGCAAATCCTTGTGGAAGTTCACCAAGACCATAAAGAGGATACAGATATGGCGACTTTCCGTATCGAGCTAACGAATCGGAGTACAAACGAATCCTTTCAGCTGTTGGCGCAAACACCTCATTCTTGTAGCTAAAAACAAAGAGTTTAAAAACTTTGCAAGAATCAATTCAAAATATTTGCAAAAATTTTGGGTATATAAAATATACTTGTCATCCCGATATAGTGCCAGTGCATGACCAGTGAAATCCGCTGTATTTTCATCTAAACCGAACTTGTCATAAACCTGAAAAGACTTTTAAATAAAAATTACATCAATGGCAACAGCTTAATGCTCTCTACGACATAATGTTAATCCAAATTCCCAAAACTCCCTGCCAAATTTCTTCAACTCTTCTCTATTAATTCGAACAATCACAAATTTGGCTACGAAAATAAACTTATTGCCATATCTTGGAATCTTATACTTTAATTTCTATTAAAGTCAGAAAGGAGAAGGCTGATAAAATAGGCATAGCGAATAAGGGTTTAGAAAGGTCAACACTGAGAAAGCAATATCGCATATTGCAAAAGATGAACTAAATATGATTGAAAGAATAGAAGCAACCTGCTGCATAGTATTTACGGTAGGATCAAAACCCTCGTATGTAGCTTTGTTATTAATGTCGAAGTTTTGCACCCAAACGAGGAATTTTTTGAAACGTCTCTTTTCGAACATTCCCATCAAATCTGAAACGACGCATATTTTACACCTCATAAAAATATGGCACGAAAAATCATCATAAGTTTACATAGAAAGCTTTCTTCGCTCTTGTTCCGCAGAAAAAAATAGGACACCAAATAAAATAGATTAAAACACACTTGTAGCTAAAGCTTCCATTTCATCTGCTGGGACTTTGAAAATTTTGCCGCCTTTGTATACGTAGGAGCCTTCAATCGACTTGAATTCAAGATAGCGAGTCACACCAGTGTGTATCAAAAGCTACAACACAAAAAAATTGAAGAATGAAATAAAATGAAAGAATCAAATTGTAATCGTGAGTTATAATAATAAAATAATCTAAAAGAAACAAGCAAAAAACCTGGAGAATTAACCTTAACAAGTGATCCATTTGCCATTAGGAATTTAGGAATCAGATCAACATTCCAATCTCGACCTCTCCCCATATCCGTAGGTGGTTTCGCATTCGGTCCTAAACGTTTACGAATAAATGGATTCCTTATGCTTTTTCAAATACGTATTCTATAAATTTCCACAAAAATCTGAAGAAAAAATCTTTGAAAACTGTTTACCAAAAAATTTTTCATAAAGTTGCTCAAGTGGTGTTAACGAGGCTGATTCACCGCCATAATAACTGTTCCGATCAATATGGAGTATTTTCTTGCCTGATACTGACAGCATTCCAGACAGTATACATTCCTGAAAACTATCAACTCGCAATTCTAAATCGTTTCACAGCCATGTCTTCCTTATAGAGATGTTGACAGTTGAAATTGTGGCGTGTTCGCTTTACACAATTTGGACATGAAATAAAAATAAAACAAGAACTAAAGTACCTTCAGTCCTGTACCAAGGACGATGGCATCGTATTCCTCATCCATGCTGTTTGCAAAATCAGTTCACCTGTAAATTAAATTTAAGGTGTCACAGCAATTATCCCATGAGAGCACGCTACCTTAGCTATTGCAGCGTTATTCACAGGATATCTAGAAAGACCGAAAATTCAACCAGTGTAACAAAAATGACCTCTGATCGTGCTATTAATATTTGTCAAAAGTTATCCAAGACTTAAAAGTAGCATATTAGGGAAGATCTTGTGAAAACAAAAGAAAGCGGAAAGAAAAAAATCAAAATGGTATGCAGTATTTCGGTAGATTCTTCAAGGGGCTTCTACTTACTGTTCTAGATGGACGTAATTATAAAATACCATAAGGCCTACCCTACATCACCTACCATATTGATCACCTATTCATCACCTACCATATTGAAAATATTTCAATTTAAAATGTTTTAGCAGTCTGGAAAATAAAAAAGATATCATCCCTAATTGATGTCATTTAATGCTAAGAATGCTGCAACTTCATCAAGGTGCACAGATAAGAGAGAAAAATCAAATTGAAATCAAAACAAGCAACAAAAATCGCCCGATATTTCCACGGCAATTACAAATTTTAAATCAAATTCAAACCAAAGCATTTTTTATTTTTATTATACACTGTCTACTCGCTGACAATTAAATGAGAATTTTTAACAGTTCCAACTCAATTTTCAGTATGAAAACCCGAACTTTTAACGGAAACCAATAATTACAAAAACCGGTGGCACAGTCCACATGAAAAATAGCTGGAATGGTGTAGTTCAATTGGAAGTGAATTTAAAAAAAACATCCGATATTATCGAAAGGACAGAAGATTTTATAAATTCAAAAATCCACGCATTAAAATCTTTGAACCTGACCAGTTTGGGAATTTCCCAGGCATCTCTTTTCAAGTCGAGACTACTAATAGCTAAACCAGCACTTTCAGATAAAACGATAGAATAGTACTAGCAATTAACAACAGCTTTTCCTTCTTTCCTCTTCCTGATTTTATGAAGTGAACAATCCATTTTGCTGGAATACACATCGCAAGCAGCAAGTATCATAGTTAATTTTTGATGGCAACTAAAGCATAGTTTATCAATGTGTTCCGACTCCATGACCAATGATTTGTAACAGGATTGTAAATCATGCCATGCAATAAACGCACATTACAACCATTTTCTTCCAAAATCAATTGCAGAAATTTTGGTTTAACAAATTTCGACCAGTTATGGATACCAGGTGGAACAATGCCCAATATTCTCTGAAATAATTAGATTCGTCAGTAGTACTTCCAGTAACTACTTCATAGTTTTTGTTCTAATTCAACAATAAAATTGAATTCAAGAAAGTTCACAAATTGGTTGCCACTTCTATCCAAAAAAATCAAGAAAATTTAAGTCAGCCAAGCAACTATACCTTTTCCCCTTTTGTTTTCCCTCTGAATGATTTTAACATTTTAAAATGAAAATACAATTCAGTACAAAGCTAACCTCTGCCATCCAAATGGCCATCACTCGACTTGCGATAGTTTTATTGATGGTTGTAAAGAAGAGAGCACCATCTTTGCGTACCAAATGAATGCATGATTCTACAAATAATTCCACATCGGTAACATGTTCGATTATTTCGGATGCGACAACTGCATCGAACACTAAAAAGAAGGAGGAAAAAAGTCATTTTATTGGCCAATATCAAATGTCACCCAAAAATTCTCATTCCCTCCTCTGAAAATTAGTGTTGGAAAGTATGTGCCACTGAGAGTGATTGGAAATGACGTTTTTTGCAGGGCTAGGCATATCTGAAATACAAAAAGACGGAAAGGACAAGAGGGAAGAGAAATTAACAACTTCAATTAGAAAAGAAAAAATAAATTGGCATGAGCAAACGATGACGTATCACAGAAATCCTAGATAATGAATATGAACCTTATTAATTCATGTACCTTACTTCCAGCATTTTTCGCAGCAAAATCTTCAACTGATGAGCAAATAAATGTCGCTTTGCCTAATCCACGATTTTCATGACGGAAACAATTTTCTGCTTCTTCTACCGAAGCAATTACATTAGAGGAGGCATCCACAGCTTCAACGCTAGCTCCCAACCGTGCCATAGGAAAAGTTAATATTCCACCACCACATCCAATATCAGCAATGTGTAAGCCCAAAAGAGAATCCTGAAATATTAAAATATTAAAAGAAATAAAGCGGTTGTAGTATTAGAATAAAGACATAAAACAGTGCAATACTAAAACCATGAAAAAAACTTGAATTTAGTAATCAAAATCAGGATATACATGGCCTTGTTCAGTTCTCCGACCGATCGTATCAACAATCAATGGTAGCCGGAGCCGATTCATAGAATACAATGCTTTAAAGGAACCATTTTCCTTTGTCCAATCGGAAGATAATTTGGCAAAGGCTTCGATGTCATTGTCATCAATCGAAGTCTGCTGAGACTGAAGATTCCTTGAATTAACGCAAATGCGTCGCTTCGTTGAATTCAAAAGCAGGTGGTGGAGCTTGTATGTATAACATGCACCTTTCCCAAGCTCAGCAAGCATCTGAAGTTTATATTTCAAGTTCTAGATTTTCTGACTCAATAAAAGAGATTTTAGACTGTTAATCTAAGGCATCATTTTTTCCAATTGAGATTTCCAATAAATCAAAAAAGTGCAAAAATGGACATGAACCAATACCAGCATAAAAAAACCATATATAATGCGATCAAATTTTTTACTATTTATACACAAGCGTAAAACTGTCATCACAAAAACAGTAGCGCGATTAAATAAGCATAGTCTATCACTGATTAACAGTGGAATTAATTTTTGCTCCTAAGAAAAGTCGACAAGAAATCTTTCGGTTTCGCTTCAATATTTTCACGGAACAGAACGTTTCGCAGGTGATACGAGTTATACCAATTCTTTTGGCATGCCAAAATTACCTGAAATAGTACTTGTGAAAAGTAATAATTTATCTAACTTTGATACAACTTAAGGAACTGTTTCGACAGGTCCTATTTGAATTCAGAACTGCATAATCTTAGACTGTCCTCCAGATGAATAACTAGGTAATAAATGAAAAGCGATTATGAACTGTTGAAACTCTTAGAAGAACCAAAAATCTCAACACATACTTAACATGAGTTAATGGTGAAAAAGAACACTTATCAGAAAATACTGAATTGCAAAAAAATGTTTTACTTGACGGCATTCAGCGATTTTTCGATCGATAACGCGAAAATCAGTCAAATGTGCATTGTTAGTGTACTGCTTTTTTAAAGCTGCCCGAAAAACGGACAATGGCATATCCTCAAGATGGAATTTATTGTAGATTTCCGGAGCACAACGTTGCCTGAAATAAAAGAAAGGCTTAGACAGAAAAAGAAGTTCGATCTTTGTTTAACTAAATAATTTTCATATCCAATTAATGACTCTCAATGTCCTATTGCTTGAAACAAAAGTCCAAAAATGCAAAAAATCAACAAAAAGGTAATATGAAAAGTTGATAAATTGCTGCGTTATACTCATAATAACTCTATTTCTTCCTCGTCAGAGCAACAAGAAAAAAAATTGAGGAACCAATTACAGAACGATCAACTTTGATTTTCAAAATAGGTAAAACGGCCACCAATAACAATTCAGCGCTAATAACATCACCCTTACTACATCGGTTATTATTAGGTAAACAATTATTATTGTCCCATCGATCTGCCGTGAATAATATTCTCTTCATAAACAGAAATCATATCCAGTATTTTCCGATCGACACTTTATGCTCAATGCACTTTCAACCGAAATGCCACAATACCATCGCTATTAATCATAAAGGAAAAATGGTAGCAAAACCGATTTTTTAAATTTTCCAAAAAATTGAACAGGAAGGAAATTATTGTTGAAAAGTGTCATAATCCTCAATTTTTTTTGGACTCACTCACAGCTGCTCCAAAATTCAGCCGTTTGTAGCAAATCTATGAGAGACCAAATTATTGTTCTTATTACCAAATAGAGTGTGGAAATTGGGCTGTAGGAGCACTAGCAAAAGCAATATATGCGCGAATGTTTGCATGGCTAATTAAGAGATGTAATAAAACATTGGACGTACAAGATCGTAACCGTGACTATTTTATTGGGGTGCTCGAT